GTATACACAGGTGTTAAGAAAGCAACTCTACAGAGGTTTCTAAGTTCCAAATCTTACCCAAAGGCGTCCCTATGGGGGGGAAGAAAGGCTCAGCCCGTCGACTGATCCCAGAAGTCAGAGGTCTGCGGTGGGGTCCTTCCTGACTTGTCCACGATGGTGTCTTCCCTGAAACCCCCCTTTTCTTAGGCTACTTTTATATTGTTTTTTATCTTCAGGGTGGAGCTTGAGTGGCCGTAGTCACATGTACCTTTGTTAGGATTGGTGTAAAGTTTTCTCGCTTCAGTTTAAAGGTATAGGTTACCTAAAATTCAGAGCGCACGCTCAGTGAGGAGTGGTCTCACCTTGGAGGCGGGTAGCCTTTGGGATGGAGGTGTGTTTTGGTATGGTAATGACATTATAATGAAGCAAAGTTCGAACAAGGACAGCAGCTCATCACAAGATGACGGACTGTTGGCTCAGGGCAGCAAAAGTACAGCTCATCAGTCTTCGCAGCACCACAAAGTTCTCATCTCTGCACTGTTATCACAGAGTCTGCCTGTGGAGTCTCCACTCTGTTCCATCCCCCGTGCATTTTCCAAGGTTGCAGGTTACGTTGCTTAGGGAACTGTCGTGGAAGGAATTCCATGCATATCAGCTGCACACCACCCTGGAGGCCCCCTCAATATTATAACTTTCCTTAATGTGCAAATAATGCTGTATTTTTAACATAAGTTTAAATTTCAACTTACCTCTGGTGTTTATCCTACAAAGGTGTACAACTTCAAATGCGTGACTTTTCTCTTTATAGCTGTTTGATCACATCGTTACCTGCATTTCTGACTTCCTGGATTATATGGGAATAAAAGGCGCCCGTCTTCCTCTTGGCTTCACGTTTTCCTTCCCTTGCAAGCAGACCAGTCTGGATGCTGTAAGTTCCTTAGCATCTTTTGAATCTGCCTTTGTGCTGATGCTAGGCCTGATTTCTCTGCCTTTGTATCATCTACATGACGCTTACAGGGCGGGTGTACAAGGAAATCATAGAATATCTCAAGTTGGAAGGGACCCGTAAGGATCATCGAGTCCAACTCCATTCATGCTCTGACCAGTACAGCTGCTCCTATAAATAGTTCCTTTAAAGGTGGCAATGCAAATGCTGCTCAGCCCGTGGCTGTGACAGATAAGAGCAGTTAAATTTTCCATGGTGGTGATATCCCTTTTTTAAGATATCGTGTTTTTTCCAGTTGTATAAACCTGCTGGACTGTGTGCAGTAAGCAGAAGTCCATCCCTGCTGCCAGCTCCTGTTCCGCAGCTGATCCTGCCTCACTGGATGGAGCGGATGGACTAGGGCCTGCTCAGCTGTGTCACCCAGAGGGTGACAGTGTAGCCTGTCAAGTTACCCTTTTTCTCTTCACTTTCATGTTTTTCACTGCCACATACTCCCACCAGCTCCACCTGTGCAGCTGTTAAGTTTCCTGTCTACTTAGCATCGTTTCTGAAGTTAGACATGTTTTCTGCCACACTTCTTGAGTCTGTTGCATTGCTCTGGAAATTTGGAGACCAAGCATGGTTAGTAGTTTTAGGTGTAAATTCCACGTATATAAAGAGATACTCCTTTTCATAGAGACTCTCCTGTATAACCTCACACTGAAGCGTTTGAAACATTAAGTGTACAGAATAATGTTTGAGTCTTAGTGAAAATAAGAAGAATATTCATGTATCAGGAAGGAGAAAACCGGCAGCGATGTTAGGAGCAGCGTTCAAATGCCCAGCTCTAAATTGCTGTCATCTTGCTGATGACAGGAGGCTTTGGTCAAGACAGGGAGACCTTGGAGTGTGACTGAGAGAGAAGACAGGTTGTTCAGCAAAAATGTAGCACCCATGTTGGTGAATACTGGAGAACCTCCTTCCTGAGTGGAGGGCTTTGCTAAGTCTGTACCCCCTGGCCGTAAATATTCCTGGCCGTTTGCTGGGACTGTGGGGTTGGACCTGCAGTGTGCAATAACCTGTGGTGATTTTGTGCTGTTATGGGCTGGGGAGGTGGGCAAATGCAGGGAAGTTTTCAGAACAGAAATGCTCAGTGATCATCCCCTAGAAGATTGTAGGATTTTGGGGGCAGTCTGAAGTACACCAGGAAACTTGATAACCTGTTTTCTTTCTTTCTTAGGGTATCCTTCTCAACTGGACAAAAGGCTTCAAAGCTACAGACTGTGAGGGAGAAGATGTGGTGTATTTGCTTAGAGAAGGAATTAAAAGAAGAGAGGTGATTGTTCTTTTGCTTTTGTTTTCTTTTTCTCCTCCTTCTCCTTCCTCTCCAGACTTGACAAACCTTGTGGCTCAGGCTGGCTCCCTCTCGCAGGGTTTGTGTGCCTTGAGGAAACAGGCTGTGCCTGCTGCCCTGCACAGAAGGTGTTTGCCTTGCAGCAGGTCTGGATGCAGCAGACCCCGATGCCGTGGGGGGCTCTGATGCTGGCACGTAGCCTGACCACCACGTGGGACAGTCTAGAGGGTGCGCAGTTCAGCCACCAAACCGAAATTGCTACTCAAAATGAGCCACGCTGGGGATTTTGTTTCATTGCTTGTTTCTTCCTCCCAAAGGCTTCTAACTTGCTAAATTTGGCAGAACTCTCAAGGCTTCTTTCAAACCCTGTGGCAATTTTCACTGCTTCAGAGCATGGACAAGGGAGGAGTTTTTTTTTTTTGGAATGCACCTCAGTGTCCCCTAAATGACAGTTCTCCCCTTTCTCAACCCTTGATCTTGAGAAATCTTCAAGCAGCTTAACTGAACCTTTCCAGGAAGGGAAGAAAACCAGCCAGAGCAGAGCATTAATTTTAGCAGAGTTTCATCAGCAAGTGGAAGGGAGGTCTTAAAAACCTTTGCTGCTGGATCTGCTACCACACTCCTGTAATACAGAATGGCAGTAGCCCTCTACCCTGTGCATGCATACGAGATGTGTACTTCAGTGTACGTAAGCCAAAGAGTGCAGCCAGGAATGTACTTTCTTCAGGTCACGTACTCTGTTGCAGGTAGAGCACGCGAGGAGCCTTAGCTACCTGCTGGTAGCTTAAGTTCCTATTTCTGTATGTGTAAAATCAGGCCGGTGCTGTCAGCTGTTTGTCTGCAGTGTGCTTTGGCAGCATTCCCAGTGCTCCTTCTGTGTCCCCTTTGGTGGGAGGGGTTGCCCCAAA